TGTACAAATAACAAGGTCATATGTATACCGTTCTTACACTATTTTAAAGTAATATTGAATTATCCAGTATTTTTTAAGTATCCATTTTTTTCAAACTTTTCCTACTAACCCAATGACAAGTAATATCTATCAAATAATTTCGCTATGTACAGTAACATAATTTTCTGATGTATAAAGCTTGGAGCTTTCGAATCGGAGTCACAAATAATATTCCCACAAGTGTAACATCTAATCTATTTGTTTTTGAACATAAAAATATATGGATGAAAAGCATTTAGCTATCACCTACAACTGTGTCTCTATGTTGGAAAAACTAAGTACACTATGAGCTTTTCAAGGCTATAATATATCTCTATACCAAATTCAACCATATTTGTTTAGCTATTTTAAAGTTAATCTTAAATATTAATATTAAAATAACGAACATCTATCTTTCAAATTTATTTCCATTTGTAATACTTATAACATTTAGAATCTATGTCTTGTTTTAGCATTCCTATCCTTCCTAAGTCAAATGCAATGGGTGATGAATCAATGGGCTACTGCAGAAGCAGAGGCAGTAAGGTTGCAAAAGGAATTGGATGAAGCTCATCGCACTCTTACCAAATCTGAAGCAAAATTTGCACATGTACGGAAAATGTTAGATGGCGAGAAAAGGGAAAAGAATATTTATCTGAAGAAGTACAATGAACAGGTATGCTTATTACATCAATATGTATTTTTATAGAAAAGACAAATGGAAAAATAAATTATAAAACAATTAAATAGCCAAAAAAAGATATTGTAAAAGCTAAGTACTAAAACTCCGATGTTGTAAAAGTGTCATAGATTAATCTGTTAAAAGTAAGTTCTGAGTCCCAAGTAATTGTATGATGCTATAATTTCCATTCTGATTTGCGTATCATCAACACTTCCTTATTGGCATAAGGCTTTATGTGGGTTCAATACAATAATGTTTTGTCTTTTGAACTCAATTCGTCATTTCAGTTGTCATTTAAAATCCAGGACACATATAAAATATAAAAATATAATATTGGAATGCATCTGATAATCATAATAGTCAGAAAGAAATGTGTAAATAAAATTCAAAGATACATATTATTAATTTCAGAGCAAACTTTTAGATATGGCAAGAGATTTACTCTTCAACGATAATCGTGCAAAGCTCAATGATGAGACACTACAGAAGCTGGCCTTCTTGAATGGTACCGCACAACAAGATCACAATGCTAAGCTGACCGGAGTACCAGAACTTAACTCCACTGGTGAGCTCCTAGGTGGTATTATTTATATTACTAAGTGTGGCCGCATGGCAGTTTTGGTAAGCATGGTTTGAGCACTTTGGTTTGTGGGAGCATTGACGTTGCATTTTTTTTTTTATTTTGTATTTGTCCAATCGCTTGATACATTTTTCATTTTTGATCCTCCAGTGAGCTTAAAATGTGTGATAAAATTAAATTATAAAGTTTAAAACAATTTAGGACATGGTTATCATTCATGTCCGTTGTGTTTCTGAAACGGTCTGTATTATTTCCTGTGATAATGATTTAATAAATGGATGGTAACTAGCTATTTTAAAAGTATGCGAATAGAAGCTGCTATGACCTAAAAAAAACTAAAATATATTATAAAAAAATAGGATTATATTGATGGCGACAGCAAATGTTTGTACGGATTTGTTTTGTTTGTTCCATTAATTATGGATTACTGTTCTATTTTCTATGTCCATACTATGTATACTTATTTAGCAATGTATATATCTAGGTACACTACTATCAGAGATGTCGTACTCGCGATCTGAGGATGACCTGGACCTGTCACTCGCGTCGACGCGGCGCTCGTGGGTGCAGCGCGGCCAGTGGGCGGCCAGGGAGCAGCTGCCTAACAAGAAGAGACGCTCCTCCACCTCCTCCGTTGCCAAGGTAACACATATACACATTTATGTACACACATACATAGTAGTATTATTATTAAAAGGCTGTTGTTTCATTAAAAAAAGGGTCTTGACATATATACCGATGAACAAAAAAGTGATCCTATAAGGGTTCCATTTTTTTTTTCGATGTATGGAATCCTAAAAACTTTTTGTCTAGAACTATTTGCTATACTTTCCAAACTCATGTGTGGAATTTTGATCTATTTAAAAAGAAACTAGCAAGTTTATTTATATTAAGTGATGCCTATAGGTACCTCCAATAAGAAAACGAGTTGTGGATACTTCGAGGAAAAAAAATCCATTCCCTTAGTTGTCAAATCTATATTCTGTTGCACGATCTTATTTTGTGTGCCTAGGAATGGTTTATTATATTGTTTATGTTATTTGGTAGACAGTGGAACTGCAGAGTGGAAAAGTGCTGGCCACCGCGACCACCACGCTGACGCTGGAGCGCGCGCCCACCTGCCAGGACCTCAAGCCGCCGCAGAACTTCGTAAGTTAATCATACATCTTCAAGAGAATATGTTTTCTTTTTCAGAAAATTTAAATATGGAAAAAGCTATCCCAGATGAACTTTCATCTTTGGCACACATATAGAACATAGTCTGTAAGAACACTTAGGCTACTAATTATGTTTTTTTTTAATTCTCGTTTCGTCGAGTCTCGGGCGACAGCTAGTATTTTGATATAATTAATATATGTTTGTGTATAGCAACCGATATCAGAGAGCAGTGACGAGGGTCCTCCGCCGCGCAAGTCTCCGGCGCGTGTCTCCTCAGCGCGACATCACCTCATTGAGGTGCACTGCACGCCACCCCCCGCACCATCTGCACCACCAAAATCCGGTGAGAAAATTCATAAATAAATAACTTGTCTGAGTTTTCATTTAAATACATATTCCTATTCAATCAGGGAAATGTGTTTTAAAAAGTAAGGAATTGATAGAAATCTAAATAACCTTTTTTAGGGTTCCGTAACTCGAAAGGAAAAAACGGAACCCTAATAAGATCACTTTGTTGTCTGTTCGTCTATCTGTCATGACACTTTTTTTTTCAATGGCTAGGATATTACATTAATATATTTAGAACAGATATTGAAATGTTTGTTCGTGTGCGCGCAGAGAGCGAGAGCGCATCAGAGAGTCCGATGCGAGCGGCGGTGCACTGCGCGCGAGTGCCGCAGCGCACGCCCTCGCTGGTGTCCTCTCCGCGCGCCAGACTCAGACAACACAACTTCGTCGCCAAGAACTTCTACAAGCGCGAGACTTGCGGACCTTGCGGCAAGACGTCAGTTCTTACATACACTACATACATTTTAACATTTTGTCGCTAGATGGCGCTGTCAATATTAAGGTGGTGATTGAAGTAAGATGAAATACGAATTCGTTTTTTGAAAGGCGTATATTAGAACTAGTTTTGATACGATGATTTTATTAAGGATAATTTGAAATGTAAAATGTATTTATGCAGTATAAAGTTCGCGAAGGTGGGCGTGAAGTGCGAGTGGTGCCGCGCGCAGGCGCACCCCGAGTGCCGCGCGCTGCTGCCGCTGCCCTGCGTGCCGCCCGGCCGCGCCCCGCACCACCAGGTACCACTCCTATACTATACTGTCCTCCTAAAAACCTAGACATATATAATAGAAATTATCAAAGGAAACAAAATAATTTAATTGATGCCTTGGTAGGAGTTTGTTAAAATAGATGGCAGTAATGAGAATACGTGGTGGTGTGTGTATGTGCAGCAGGAGGGCGGCAGCATCGCGGAGTACGCGCCGAGCTGCGCGCCGATGGTGCCGGCGCTGCTGGTGCACTGCATCAGCGAGGTGGAGCGGCGCGGCCTCACCGAGCGCGGCATCTACCGCGTCTGCGCACTCGACAAGGACGTCAAGCGACTCAAGGCAAATATCACTTGTCTCACTTACTTCATATTATAAATGCGAATGCTTGGATGTTTGAAGGTATTTACAGAACGGTTCATCGGGTCATGATGAAATTTGGCATGGATGTAGCTTATGGTCTTGAAGAACACATAGATGGCTAATTATATTTTTTTTAAATTCCGCGCGAACGTAATCACTGTCGACGGCTAGAGACTCTACACAACTCTCTCAATACTACTCTATCCACATAAAATGAACCTTACAATCTGATATTTGAAAAGTGATATAGAACAGTGTAAAGTGAAGGTAATGTACACGTAGGAGCGGTTCCTGCGCGGATGCGGGTCCCCGCAGCTGTCGGGCGAGGACATCCACACGGTGTGCGGGTGCGTGAAGGAGTTCCTGCGCTCGCTGCGGGAGCCGCTGGTGACGTCAGCGCTGTGGGCGGACTTCGTGAGCGCGGCGCGTCTCTCGGAGCCTGACGCCGCAGCAGCTGCTGTGCACGCGCTCTCGCAGCTGCCGCAGCCCAACAGGGACACGCTCGCCTTCCTCATGCTGCATCTGCAGAAGTCAGTACACATCATCATACCCAAAACTTTTCATGGCGATTCTCACTTCATGAATGAACCATAATAATATCGGTTGTTTTATGCTTTTGTATATTTAAAATAATTTTTATTCTAACTGTGGGTTTCTGAGAACAAAATCCTAGTTTAAACATACAACCATATATTTTATACTGACATTTGGGTTTCAGAAACCAACGCTAACAATCATTGTGAATATTTATCGTAGTACTAATAGAATTTTCAAGTCACCTATAGGCTCGCTTATTCATCAAATTTATTTGCTTTCTAGACAAAAGTATTTGTCATTTAAAACAAGCAGGCTTATAAGAGTGTTGTGTGTGTGTGTTGTGCAGAGTGTCGGAGAGTCCGGAGTGTGAGATGGGTGTGGACAACCTGGCGAAGATGTTCGCGCCCGGCGTGGTGGGGTACGGCCTCGCCAGCGACGCCGCTGAGATGTACACCGCCACCGCGCACATGTTCAGCGTCAGTATATCTCCTACACAACACAACGCCACACTATGCACACTGACATTACAACGACAACAACTCTCGCACGTAAAAGGTGTAGGCAGAGATCACCTACCTCCATTTGCTGCGCACCTGACACACTTAAAGCAAATTTTATCTGCATTCGTCACATATTGATAGGTAACTGATCATGAAAGATTCAAAATAATGCTGTAGTGCATAGAAATAAAGACATTAAACTGGATATATTGTCTTTTAAAAAAAAATTCTCTCAATAAATCATACCAAAGTTTCATAAAAATCTTTGAAGTTTAGGAACGCAGGAAAAATAGCGATTTTGTTATTATGTGTAAGTATAAATGATACAATGAATTTGAAGTGTATATAATGTGGTATGTATATAATTGTTTATATAACAGGTGATGCAGCTGCTGCTGAAGTTGCCGGGCGACTACTGGGCGCAGTGGGCGTGTCCCGGCTCGCCCGCCGCCGCGCCCACCGCGCCCACCGCGCCCACCGCGCCCGCCCACAAGCCCAGGGGATTCTTCTTCTCCCCCGCCGACACAGGGTAAACACCTCTTTACCTTGTCTAATAATTAATTACTAAATAAGAGAATTACACTGTTTTTGTTTTATTTGTATTATTTAATTGTAAAATAATCGTTATTTAAAGATAAGACACCAAATATAAACTTTTTAGTATTTGAACCGGTTTCGTACCTCAAAAGAAAAAAACCGGAACCCTTATAGGGCACTTTCTTGTCTGTCTGTCTGTCTGTCAAGACCCTTTTTTTTATTAAAAATGATTTATTTTTTCAGAGTTTCAAGAAAGAAGAGAAACTACTTTCAGTGAGATGTGACATCTTCATTACAATAGTACTTTAAACTTTATTACCATTAGTATAAGTTTGATTTTTGTTTGGAAGTAGCCAGTTTTGTTTTAATTCACTTTGTTTGGTATATTCTTTGGTAACTCAAAAAAGTTCTATATTGAGTTATATTTAAGTTAATCATTTTTATTATTGATTATTTCATTTGTAGACTTAATTGAAATTAAGTATTTAGGTTAGAAAAATAAATATTTTGTACCTAATAAAGGTTCTAAATTAAAATAAGTGTATAATATTATGTAGTACTCTGATTTCGAATAATATACGGGCGAGTTATTTTATGATTAAAACTTAATTACAACCAAACCACAATAACATGATGCCTTAATGTTTGACGACAGATTTACGATGTACAGAAATTTACATTGAATTACAATTGTTGTATTTAGTATTATTACCACGTGTTTACAATTTATGTATATTCCTAATTTTGTACTTAATTGTTTAAATCCAACAAATATTGGTCTCTGAGATTTCACTAAGGAAATACTAGAGATGTTTTAGACAGGTTGGTGTTACGGCAACACACTGTTATACATAAAATATGCGAGTACAAACATTAGTAAAGTACATTAGTATTTTTGTATTTTGAAGTAGAATAATTACACTTTAGTAAGTTAAATAAGTCATACCTTTTCAATATTACACACAAACAAACATACACATTTTTTGTATATTTTCATTTAATTTAATTAGATATAATTAAATTCCGTTGTAGCGACGTCACGCCGCCTTATTATATTCTTTCTAGCAATTATTCATTAACATGTTCATAGTTTAAGTTATTTCTAAAAGTTATTAATAAAAATACTTGGAAATAAAAATTAAAAGCTATAAAAATGTTCTTTGAAAAGTAATTTCTATTATTTTTCTAAAGTTCAAAGAAAATATGTTCAATATTATTTTTGTGAGTTTCAAAGTACTATGTTATCGTACACTCATAGTATGTTTTGTTTAATTTAGTAATAATCAGGATTATGTGTAGTACTTAATTATGTTAAAATAATTAGGTTAGAAGTTCTTTTGATATGTAACTAAATGTTACATAATCTCTGTCTACCCTTTTTTGGGAATGACATATGTTCATATAATAATTAGAATGCCACAGTTTTGTCGCAGTTAATGGCTTAAATTAACATATTTTTTTTTTCTTTACAAGTTGTAGAATAATCTACTCAATAACAAAACTTATTTTCTTTAAAAAGTAAAAAAATAATTTTAATAGGATTTATTTTGTTTGTATTTATTTTTATGCAAACTTAAATTAGTACTACATATGTTTGTTTATTTATAGTTTGTATGTAGTTTTTCTGTTTGTAAAAAAAATAAAATAAATATTAAGTATTTGTTTCTTTGACTTCAAAAATACCTTGATTATTATATTAACGATTATTCAATGTGTGAATAATTTATCATAAACTAGCTGTCGCCAGCGACTTTGTCCACGCTGAATTAATTAGAAACATAGTAAATCTATATGTTCTTGCAGACTTCATCTTCATCAAGATCCGTTCAGCCGTTCTGGAGATATCTTCAAACATCCATCTAAACATTCGTATTTATAATATTAGTAACATTGTGGTTAACATTCTTATAAGAAGAGGGTAAGTAATTAAAACAATACAAAATTAAACATCACTTTTTTTATTGCAATGCATGAAAAAATACAATAAATTGAGCAAATTAAAAAAAATGCGAGATTCAACTACACACTAAAACTGCAATTAAGAGAATCAAATCCCTAAACAATGTAAAATTCGAACGATAACTAACCGTGGATTTCTAAGACTAAAATGCCTCTTTAAAACATATCTTTGTTTTATCCAAAGATTATGATAGGAATGTGTTTTATACAGAGATTTTGATCTCGGAAACCAATGGTAATCGAATCTTCTAAATAAAATGACATATCGAAAGTTTTCATAAAATTTTCAAACTTTTAAAGAATTTTACATTGTTTAAGGAGTCAGTATAATTTACACGTTGATTATTTTGTAAAATGCAATACTTAATATTCACTTAGTTTCTGTAAATATATAATATAATAAATGAGCAAAATCATATAGGAAATAAGTGCTTTATAAAAGCGTAATAATATCAACAGATCTAGCCTTTTAAAAAATATCTACAATAGAATGTCTACATCCAGAGTGTGACTACTTAAGCAGTTCCTTAGTAATGTATTAGTGTAGATTTCCTACACATCTACAGTTACGCTGAAATAGCATTAGAGGGCTTAACAATTCTTTCACGTACATATAAAAGTAAAAATGATATTTTCAATGATTTTACACAATTTCTAAATAACCTCAATAATTAATTTATTTTTTCTTATAAAAAGGAATGTTTATAATGTTTTAACAAGTTGACAATTTAAAGGATCAATATAAAAAAATAGATTAAAAAAATGGATTTCCTTGTTTTGTTCATATATTTATTAAATTGAAATAAATTTATTATTGAGGTATTTTATATTTTATGTACAAAATATCTACGATAGAAAATCTTAGTGTTATTTTTGCACAGTCATTTTATTTAAAATTAATTTATGGAAAGTAAGAAAAAAACGTCTTTTATGAAGCTAAACGCAATCAAAAAAAAAATTAATCAATGCAATTTAACCGTGCAATTCCACTGCGAAAATACTTGTATAAAAACATATTATTGTCTCTGGTATTTACAAGATAAATTCAAAGACAATAAAATGTTTTACAAATGTTTTAACAATGGAAACATAACTGGTAACATCAAAAGTGAAAACTTATATCTAAACTTGTCTTTGGTAAGATGTTTAACTTAACGACTAGTTTGAGAATTAATAACTAAATGAAAATTATCATTTTACTTAGGAACAATGGAAATTAAAGAATTTACTAATAATATAAAATAGAAAAATTTGGTACATTTACTAGATTCCAGACATTAAATCAAGAGTTCTTAAATAACTCGAAGTTGTCTACAAAACGTTGAAAGTTAAACATGTTTTGTCGCGGGTTTCGACTGCCTAAACAAATGTATGAAAACATACTGTTATGTTTTTTAAAAAAGGATAATTTTTCCTATTAAACTAGTAAAATAAACATGATTACTTGGTGAAATTGAAAAAAAAAAATCTTTTGCAATGAAAAAAAAAATGGAATATTTTAAATGCTTGTATTAACACATACAACATATTGATATAAAATATCGTATAGTTTTTCTTATAAAAGTGTTTATTAACATTTTTATAAATAAAAAATAAATTATGCTTAAATTATTTTTCGGTAAATATTTTTTAAGAATAAAATATATATTAAAAAATGATAATATAATTTT